ATCAGGCCTCAAACGAAGAATATAAAAATAACATGCATATATATAATGAGGGTGACATGGTCACTGCGTGACAAAACCCTCAAAGAAATAAAGAAAAAAAAATAGCTTGTGTAGTATTTGCGAAATTGGCACAGTTTTTTTGCAATCAAAATCAGCTTGTTATGGCGTGCTTATTTTAGACGGTAAAGATAATATCAACGTGTGTTTTGAAATATGTTTTTCTAGTGTGGGGTTTATAAGATGTTTTACACAATACGGTTATTTTGAAATCATTTAACATATTAACGAGTTATATTTCTTGGTACACCAGCTTGTAGAGTCTAGTAAACGTGAAAACAAATCCACATGATATCATGAAATTGTGTACATATTTTTTTTCTAAGTGCTAAGTTTCCTGTTTATATTTTTATTGTTGGAATACGAAGTCTTGGGTTTACCTCGGCTTTGTCTTCATCAGGTATTTGGCATGATTCCAAATCTTGGAATTGCGTGTTTGAGTATGATTCGATTGTAATTTGGCAAAGTTCGTGAATAATTAAATTACACCGGCTGATACTTAATACCTGCTGACATTTTCATTTGAAACTTTAATTTCACTTTTTGTAGCAATAGTTTAGTAAGTTCAAGTTCTATATGATTGTAAAAAATTAGTAAATTACAGCGTAAATTTGTTATCTTTTAAACTATATGACCATACATTTTGATTACGATATGTCATAATAATTACACAGCCAGCTGATTATGATGTTATTATTAATATAATTTATTGCCCATATGTGTGTTGACTGTAACTGTGTAATTGATGCAATTAAATTTTCTGCACGCGCAGTTATTATTGATATTAAAGATCATAGTCCGTATTAAATTTACAGTTTGGTTCATATCAGATCATCATTTTAATTATATATTGAATATTTATATCATAAGGGGGTAATGTGATGATGAGTAGCTCGGTGGCGTAGTGGATAAGCGCCGCGGCCCGCGATCGTTGTCGTTAAGCAACGTTCGCAAGGGTCGGTCACGGGATGGGTGACCAAAAAATTATTATCTCGAGCTACTCCGTGCTTCGGCAGGTACGTTAAGCCGTTGGTCCCGGCTGCATTTGCAGTCGTTAATACCCTCCAATCCGCATTGGGCCAGCGTGGAGGGTCATGGCCCATCCTCCTTAACCATCCATAAGGAAGGCCTGAGCCTCTGCAGTGGGGACGTAAAAGGGCTGATGACGATGATGTAATGTGATTGCCTAAACAACATCTTGGCGTCGGAAAAATCTTCGCGCGATGCTGTTACTCATCGGTACCAAAGAAAATATATACTAGATTAAAGAATGACAATCATACTCGTAAATTGTTCGTTGTTTGCAAAGGTTGTCTGGAATAAATAACTTTTTAATAAATAAACATCCAATTGTACAGTTTAGTTTAATGTATCCAAATGTATTGGTGTACAATAAAGAATATTCCATTCATTCATTGTTATCGGTGTATGGGGCATGCAGGCGTTAGAGTATATTTTTTTACTGCAGACCGATTTGTTAGGGCTTTAATTCTCTTCAGAATCGAAGAGTAGAAGGATCTATGTTCGGCGGAGATGTATAGTTTTTTTTTTAGTGGTTGGTAGGAGTAGGTTTTTGATATATTTCTCATCGAATTGTAATTTTATAAACGTATCTTTGCTTGCTCTTTAAATATTTCGGAAATTATATTTGTATATTCAACATTATATAAAATATCTAGTTTCAATTATAACAACAATAAAGAAACAAATATGATATTTGTTTTAAATTAAACTCAATCTGTCAATTTAACAGAAAAAAAATATCGATTATTTTGCAATAATAAGTAAAACGAGTAACGCAATATAATCAAATACTAAATTTGTGGTATTGCAGATTTCACTTACGAAATCAACTCACGTTCATATAACCAATTATTTGGGTGTAGAAAAGCTTGTTACATTGATGGTATACATGACGAGAATTCGATGGCTCTTCTTGCAAATAAGGTAATAGTTGAGAGACATAATCGATTTGTGATACCGGTTGCTAGAGATGAGTAATATTATAAGAACCGGTCTGTTTCGGCTTACATACCATTAACGGATTGAGTAATATTATCCGGGCGGTTGTTTGTTGTTTAAAAATTTAACTGCATACGCCCAGACCTAGATAGGTCATATTTCAGAACATGCAATACTAAATATCGTCGTTGAAAAGAAAATACGATAATCTATAATATTTTCGTCATTCTAATTAGTAAAACAATTAACAAGATGACGAATAAAGTTTCGTAGTATTTATTTATTTATTTATTAGGTAGCACAACAGACGCTAATCATAATATATATATGAATTATAAGTAACAACTGTGCAGTACTAAATTAATATCTTAAAGGTGTTTACACAATGAGATATGATAAAGATTTTTTTTTTACTTAGGTATATGAAAAAACAGAAAGAATAAGTATATATAAATCTGGATGGTTAAAAAGACGCGACATTTAAGTCTACCACAACTTCTTTAATAAGTATGTTTGGATCTCTCAATTGATCTTAACAGACTTTATTGCACAGTTGCGTAAGAAAATAATTGGAAAATATACTCGTAGGTATATTCCAATTTTGCATATCAAGTGCATTGTAAACATTGTTAAAATATACAACACTGATTTGGTAGATAAACAAATTCATAGCTGTGACATCTTGTGGTTAAAAGGTTGTCGATTGAGCGCAAAAGTAGATGTTGAGAGAACAGGTTTTAAGATGCACTTATGTAATTGATAAAACGTTAAGAAGATATTATTTGAGGTGACAAAAATTTATAAATCGTTTAATTCATTGTGTGCATTAAATTTTAAAATGGATTAAAGTAGCTGTAGTTTTGGGAGATGAAAGCAATGAATAGCGCAAATGAGAGTTTATATTTAATTATTATTACTGTTACCTTATATGACCAACTTTTTTGATCTTTGGATAGCTAAAAAGCCAAATGAAATACGTCTTAATTACAGTACCTCATGTATTGAAATAATGATAAAAAGACAAGTTTTTAGCACCGTAACGGATGAAAACGGTGTACTTTATTAGACGACATGTTTTATATTAGTTTAAGTTAATATCAAAATGCCTATTAAGAGCCCTATTACTAATACAAATAAATTCGCTATGCGGACGATCAAACTGAGCACGGACTGGTGGTGCAACAAATTTTGTAGTTTTGTTTAATATTTTTATTGAAAGAAGACAATACATTTTTGCTTAAAAATAAATTATGAAATCTTTATTTTTAATGAAGTAATAATTATTCTGGTTCGTAAAATAATATTATCGTAGATGATATTCATACTAAATTAAAGTTATTTTCGAAGTTTTTTCTTATTTCGAATTAGTAAGATTTTTTTTTTAATAAGATTAATAAGATATTTTAAAGCAATGTAATTTTTAATTTTCGAGGTTGCTTCGAACTCGAACTATACGACTCTATAAGGAATAACGTTATATATTTTTTCAATTTATTTGTTTAAACAGTAGGTCAATCGAGGTACCATCGCGTTTTTTATGAAAATCTTTCAATGCAATTTTGGGTTGAATTAAAAAGTTAGGCACAATCTATAAAAAGCAAAGCTACTACGAACTATGCCAATAGTTATTCTGCATAATTCAATAAGTCAAAATTAATAATACATTTTAATTTCGAGATCAAGAATGCCTGACATTACCATTTTAAGCAAAAATCATAGTCGAGATATAAAGGGGTCTTATCAAGTTTGAAATAAATATATCTAATAACCAAATAATAATGATAGAGGTAATATTTTAAAAATGAATTTAATTATAGTAATGGTCGTTTTGTTTAATTTGAGTTACTTAATGTTTTGGAATTTATCTGTTATCGTAACAATAATAAGTCTCGTAATTATTTATAAACACCTTGGAAGAAACTGAAGGTTATCTATTAAATTTCACAATAGGTGAGTATAATTAATCGAATAACCTCCAGCCACAGATATTACTATATTACTACTATACTACTACTATATTATATATTACTATATTATACTATATTACTTATATATCGGTTAACTAACTACGAAATGTCTTATCAAAGTGGAAATTATTTTAAGATAGTACTTAATAAAAAATATATATATAATATGTATTTAATCAAGATTTACCAATATCAATTATTTTTGTACCTCTAGTCATTTTAAACCACATTTTAATTAATGACAACTACACTTAAATGTATTTTCAAAAAATAAGAATTGAAAGTATTTTTTGTAGTTATAACTATGACATAAAATAATTTATTGTGTATTAAAAAAAAAACATTATAACCTCACCGTTTTGGAGGATCACTACTTATTTATGCAATGCAAAGAAGAAAAGATAGATTAAATTATAATTCTTTTCTCATCAAGTCAGACAATAATAAATAAGTACATAAAATAAATAATAATAAGTCAAGATCATAGACAGCGGTAATATTATTCAGATCGTAAATTAAGTAGGTAAAGCAATTGTATTACGGAGATCTGAAACAACGAAGGTACCACAACACTCAAACTTGAGATAATATAGAAAAGATTATTTTCTACAATGACTCGACCAGGTTGAAATTGAAACCGGCATCCGAATCACTCGGCCACTGAGGCAATATAATATATCAAAAACATTTTTATGATCTTAAGGCAGGAATCGAACCTGTTTGCGATATTTCGGTATCTCTCTTCCAAATGAGATACCTTATTTGGAGAAGAAGATTATAATTTTTAAAATATAAAGATTAAATGCACTTTGCGAGCTTTGATTGTTTGTTTGTTTGCCTCAAATAGGCTCTGTAACTACTAGACCAATTTTAAAAATACTTTTACCTACGGGTAGCTACATCATACGGGGATGATATAGTCTATAATTTATGCGTACGAAGTCGCAGGAAAACAGCTAGTTAACTAATAAAAATAATCATCAGCAAAGTAAAAGTTTGAGAAAATAAACTTACCAAGCCGCAGCTTATTTATTGAGAAAGTAGTCAAAGAGCACGTGATATTCTTGAACTCCAGTTGTACCGTGTTCCTGGGCAGCAACGGTACAACATTGTTATTACCGGTATCGTCCAAACCGCCTAACGTCATCGTGCCGAACGGTGCCACTTGCGCTGTCACTTGTTCCACTTCCCACCACTAACTGTCACTGGTTCTTTCACTATTCTCGTTCTGATAAGTTAACTCGTAATTACACTATGCGCACTAGTAATGAACCGCTTTTATTCCCGTCATGAAGTTGAATGTGCCTTATCTCTTGTGACCACGAACTTGACGAATCTTCTAGGTTGAGTTGTCGAGTTCCTGTCTGTAATAATCCATTCGATATGACCCTATAAACAATATATTAAATATTATTTCTGTACACATAAGATAATCGACTTAATACATTTTTAAATAATAATTGATCAGTCATTAGATGTAGTTATTTCTGTAAGTAGTTCTCAGGCATGTCATAATTGTCGTTAATTAACCTACTATCGACTTTCACGAGTGTAAGTAACAGCCTAGACTGAATGAATGATCTTGATTTTATATAATCTTTATAGTTACAATTAGTGTGGAATAGAAGAATGTGCTGATTTATCTACATTTTTATTCTTCTCGTCTTGTAAAATAAAATAAAAAATATATTTTCTAAGGTAACTATGGTGTTCCTCAAAGGTAGAATGGTAATGGGTTCGACAATGATACGCCAAATGGCCTTGAATAGTTATTTAAGTAATATGAAAAAAAAAAGAAAATATTACAAGTAAAATATTGTATTTATATAAATTATAAAATTACAATAGTTCGACACTCACTGCAAGTGTGACATGCTAATATGTTAGTAATTTACTTACTCTTACCCAATGATCGGGTGTTCTTAATTAAGAATATTTTTACTAGTGTTGGTATTTGTTATTGCACTATAATCAGTATAAACATTTATTCTTCTACTTTTATTAATGGCTTATCTGCGCATTTCACATAATCCTGCCAAAGTCAAGTGAATAAATTAATTTCTACATGTAAAATGAAAATGAAACGAAAGATGACTATGTTTCTTAACATTTATTACAATTTTAAAACACTGACACAACATTGGGCGCAACTGACGTGTACTGACATTAAAAAAAGAATTAAAACAAAAGTGACAATAATTAAAAATGAGGTTTGAAATCATAGACCAAAAGATTGAATATATGTGGAATTTAGGAACAGAGACCGCTGCTATAGTACGCACATTTATTTTGTTACTCGATGTTATAGTTATTAGTAATTTTAAGGAGAATTGTAATGAAACGATATATTTATTTACTTAATTTGATGTATTGAGTAAATAGCTCTTTAAGAAGCTCTTTAATATACATATGTGAATGCTACATTAATAGACATCAAAAATAAAGGACTTCTTCTATTTTTATATAATAAATAAACTCAAATTCTTTTACACTGATTGTGAGAATTCGTACGTCAATAAATCCAAAGAAAATCTTATTACATTTAGTTCTTGATGTGATGGTGGTAACTTTTATGAATTGATATTCTGTTCTGTTACTTATCCTGTATACTTATTTTATTAGTTCAGTTGACTACAGCTCTTGATTGGAGGTTATCTATTTATAATAATTATGTTCACAAGAAATCTTATAATTCATATGACGTTTGCACAAAACGTTGATTGAATTAATAGTGCGCCTTAAACAAAAACTTATTTATATGTACAGTGAATCGTTGACGACCATTCAACGAATGATCTTTATTGATTCCAATTTGTGCTGTCAAGCGACGGGTTAATATATCTATTGACTTCATAAAATAAGCAGGACAATTTTGTGATGGATGTCGCTAGTATGCAGAATAATAATTTGTAGAAGGAATAGGTTGTTTATTGCGTTACATTTTAATTGTATTCTAATTAAAACAGACTAAAAGTTATGTATGGATTGTTTATCAATCATTTTACAACCGTCGTACATTGTCTATAATGTCAGGTATCGGGTTTAAATACTGATATCATTAACAAATAAATGCATGTCCCTAATGCTGATTCATTGCTTTATATCAGCATTGGTTAATCTATTGTGTAAATGTTTTTGTATTATAAAAAATAACATTTAAATACTTGTTCCATTTGTTTTCTCGGTTTGCCTATTTTGTATATTATTTTCCTAATTAATAAATTACCCCAATAATAAGTAATGTGTAGTTGAAAAAATATCTAAAATGGTATTTGGGTAAGCAGAATAATAATGCCGATCAGGTTATTGTGTTAAATAAACCAACGCAAAAAGTTTCATTACCCCGAGGTCAAATTGTTTTCTTTTCATGCCATTAATTTCTAATGTTTTGATGATTAACGACTAATATAAGTTGCAAACTTGACTATTCACATGAATATTACTGTCTAAACTGAAATTATTACAATTTTTTTTTGTCGTCAGATATTGTATCAATATTATGAAAAAACGAAACGTTCGAAATTTGCACGAAGTTTGTAGAAAGACTGAAATACTTTAGAAGGACAAATTCTGTTAACTTTACCGTTATTATGGGATGTCAATGGCGCTTCAACTACAAACCTTTATGGCACACTTATTGTTACTATATCACGAAATAATAAGTATATTTGTCACTATTGATTTGTAAGGAAGACATTGTATTAATAATATTCAGTTGAGATTCTATTGGATTCGATTATTTGGTATTAGCAATATTAAGGCCTAGATCACGGATGACCCTTGGTTGAACTGCTCTAAGGTTAGTCTTAGACTTATAATAGAACGGTTCTAGTACCCGGTTTAAGCTTTAATATTTTAATAAACTTATATCATTAAGCAATTTTTTTTGTAATATAAATATTTGTCTATAACGATCGCTATCAACAATCATAAAACAACAAACAGAGGCTTTCGCTGTAAATGGAATTGAATATATTAATTATAATGAAAATAAATTAATAAAATAATAATGCTTGAAGTTACAAATGGACAGCACGTACCCTAATTAATGATCTTGTTCAATTTCATGTCATGTTACCAAATTTCAAAATAGTAGGAATGTAAAATGTCTTGTTCATTCATTGGAATACTTTACCGTTGTAACTGCTTGTTAATATTTTTGAAAGTATGTAGTTAAATTGTCGGTTTGTTAATCTAACGGTAGGTGATCAAACCATTTGAGGGTTGAGGTAAAATATTGTATGATGAAAGTTTCTGAGTTTGTTATTTATTGTTACATATGATAATAACCCTCAATTAGTTCATGATTTTACTACTAGACTTGATTTACTCTTATTTTTATGGTTTATTTTGACGTTTAATTATTGTCTTATTTTTTTTATAATTATAATACAATATTATTCAATTGAACAAAAATTTGATTTATCTTAGTTTATTAAATCAATGTTTACATCTCGTACACAATGTCAATGTACCAAAAATTATTCTGAAGGCTAAAATGTTAATGTTAAAATCAGTTATTATTATTTGTTTAAGAATTAGATCGAAGTAGAAAAACAATAATAATTTATATGGAACAGGATAACTATAAAAAAAACAGATTGAGTGAACTTACAACAAATATTAATTTAAGTAAATATTCATAATAAAATGTTAATAGGTTTGAAATTGCAGTTAACCAGTTATTCTTTAAAATTCAAAGATATATCCTAGTATGATTAAAGAATAAGATCAAGATTCTGCCTTTTACATTATTAATAATATTAAGTTTTATAAGCAATTGAATTTCATGTTACCGTCAAAGCTAAGTTGAACCAATTTTTTAAATTAAACGATATATATTAAATGATATTTCGTTATAGATTATACATATAATTAGTAGTAGATTAGTTTACCACTAGGGGAAAACAAATAAAGGTATTTTTGAGATTCGAGTGCATTTTGTAATGCCAATTAAGATGCCACTATCGATGTTGTTGTACAGAAAATGGATGGCATCGTAACACGTTGTGGTTGGTTTTTTATTGACATTTTATATGCTATTATTTAAATGTGTACATATTATTATTTTTGAATAATATTTTCTTACCCAATCTATTTTATCGATAAGCTCGTTGATTTACTGTCATCTTCTCTTTTTCTTTACAACTCTTTTATGTGAAATTGGGTAATTTGTGGTTTAGATTGACTTGTTCCAATGAAGCCCGGAATGATCTATAATAATAGATAGATAGATAGATAGATATACACTTTATTGCTCACACACAATTATTAACAATAGATAAACAATACAGGTACTAATGCTAGGGTGGGCAAAGGCGGTCTTATCGCTAAAAGCGATCTCTTCCAGACAACCTTTGATTTGTTTAACATTTTGATGGAAAAACCGGAGGTAGTGTGCCTGTAGTACAATAGAAAAAAAAAAAAAGCCAATAATAATATAATGAGAAAATAAAGTAGTGTGATAATGAAGGTAAATTGAACAAAAATGAGAATTACAAGGTAATCAATATATTATATGTACAAATCCAAAAGATGCTTATGCAATTTAGTTTTGAAAATGGCAACAGATTTTGCATGTCGAATAGCAGACGGCAGCTTATTCCAGAGCACAGCAGCTTTAATGGTAAATGACTCATGGTAGTATCCCGATCTAGCATAAGGAATCTCCAGCACATTATCCGCCCCAGACCGCAGCTCGCGATTATGATTTGCGCCCAGAAATCGGAAACGTTCCCTAAGGTAAGATGGACTACGCGGATCGTAAAGGATCTTAAACAGGAATGTGAGGACATGCTCTTCACGACGCTGTTTTATGGGGAGCCACTCAAGTTTACGTCTAAATTCAGTTATGTGGTCAAATTTACGCAAACCGTATATGAATCTAATACAAAGATTTTGTAAACGCTGTAGCTTGTTGAGCATGTCCTCATTCAGATCAATGAGACAGACATCAGCGTAGTCCAAGATAGGCATAAGTAAAGAATGCGCCAATTCAATTTTAGTTTTTAAAGGAAGCAGATTTTTCCAACGTCTAAGTGCCCCTGTGGTAGCATACACCCTTCGGCTAACTTCAGCAATGTGCGGAAACCAGGAGAGGGAGGGATCAAAGAAAACGCCCAAGTTTTTAACTACACTACTAAGAGATAGAGTGACTCCACTCAAGGTAAGGGGCGGAAGGACCATGTGATTAAGCTTTGCAATCTGTTTCGCACCACCGATGATGATAGCTTGTGATTTATTAGGGTTAACTGTAAGGCCGTAAGCTTGACTCCATTCTTGGATATTCACAAGATCAAGATTAACCTTAGCGATCAGCTCATTGATATCGTCGACTGAGGCCTGAGAAAAAATTTGTACATCATCTGCATATAAATGATATTGACACG